TTCTTGATATGTGCCTGCTGTACTATGTACTTGTATGAAAACATATCCTGTTCTCTTTGTATTGCTTCCTTTGTGTGAAATACCTGGTGTTTTTGCCAGTTCAGTGCTTTACTATTAAAAACTGACCGCATTAGGCAGGAGAGCACAGCATGGTCAGTTTTCTAGCTGTGCTGAGAACTCAGCCTGCTCTGCTCCAATGATCACACTTCTGCTGACACCACCTTCCCCTGCACTGCCATTCAATGGGATGACCAGTGTGCTTCTGCTTCTTCTCCCCCAGCTCTCTAAGTTGCTTATGCGGCTGAGAACAGAGGGTATGTAATGATGTACAGTGAGGAACAGAAGTATTTGAACACCCTGTGATTTTGCAAGTTCTCTCCCACTTAAAAATCATGGAGGGGTCTGAAATTCACATTGTAGGTGCATTCCCACTCTGAGAGACAGAATTAAAAAAAAAAAATTCAGGAAATCACATTGTATGATTTTTAAAGAATTTGTCTTGAACTGCTGAACATAAGTATTTGAACACCTGAGAAAATAAGTGTTAATATTTGGTACAGAAACCTTTGTTTGCAATTGCAGAGGTCAGACATTTCCTGTAGTTCTTGACCAGGTTTGCACACACTGCAACAGTGAGTTTGGCCCACTCCTCCACACAGATCTCCTCTAGATCTGTCAGCTTTCGGGGCTGTCGCTGGGCAACACGGAGTTTCAGCTCCCTCCAAAGATGTTCTATTGGATTTAGGTCTGGAGACTGGCCACTCCAGAACCTTGATATGCTTCTTATGGAGCCACTCCTTGGTTATCCTGGCTGTGTGCTTCGGGTTGTTGTCATGTTGCAAAACGCAGCCACGACCCATCTTCAATGCTCTGACTGAGGTAAGGAGGTTGTTGCTCAAAATCTCACAATAAATGGCCCCATTCATCCTCTCCTTAATACAGTGCAGTCATCCTGTCCCCTTCACAGAAAAGCACCCCCAAAGCATGATGTTACCACCCCCATGCTTCACAGTAGGGATGGTGTTCTTGGGATGCAACTCATCCTTCTTTTTCCTCCAAACACGACGAGTGAAGTTTAGACCAAAATTTCTACTTTGGAACTCATCTGACCACATGAATTTCTCCCAAGCCTCCTCTGGATCATCCAGATGGTCATTGGCAAACTTCAGACGGGCCTTGACATGTGATGACTTGATCAGGGGAACCTCCCGTGCAATGCATGATTTGAAGCCATGACAGCGTAGTGTTCTACCGACAGTGAGCTTTGAAACTGTGGTCCCAGCTCTCTTCATGTCATTGACCAGCTCCTCCCTTGTAGTTCTGGGCTGATTCCTCACCTTTCTTATCATCGGTGATACCCCACGAGGTGAGATCTTGCATGGAGCCCCAGTCCGAGGGAGACTGACAGTCGTCTTTAGCCTCTTCCATTTTCTAACAATTGCTCCAACAGTTGATCTATTTTCACCAAGCTGCTTGGCAATTGCCCCATAACCCTTTCCAGCCTTGTGGAGGTTCACAATTTTGTCTCTGGTGTCTTTTGACAGCTCTCTGGTTTGCCCATGGTAGTAGTTGGCGTCTGACTGACTGTGGGGTGGATAGGTGTCTTTAAAGAGCTCAGACAGGTGCTACTAAGTTAGATTAATGAGTGGAGTAGAGGTTTTTAAAGGTGCAGTAACAGGTCTTTGAGAGCCAGAATTCTTGCTGTTTCTTTGGTGTTCAAATACTTATGTTCAGCAGTGCAAGACAAATAAATTATTTAAAAATCATACAATGTGATTTCCTGAATTTTTCATTCTGTCTCTCAGAGTGGGAATGCACCTACAATGTGAATTTCAGACCCCTCCATGATTTCTAAGTGGGAGAACTTGCAAAATCGCAGGGTGTTCAAATACTTCTGTTCCTCACTGTATAAAAAAGGAAAGAAAAGATATTTCTAATGTTTTTTTATATGTACAGTATACACAAATATTTTGCCTTTCATTGCTATTTTAAACTGAATGGGTTGTTTTTACAAGGTGAGGATTCACATATACTTTAATGTTCCATTTAGGTAAGCAGCAAAAGTCAGTATGGTGCATCCATATCTACTGTATATTATCTTAACATCTCTCTCAAATAATGTGGTATTGTCTTCTCTTCCCATTTTATATTTTATTGGCTAGTATTAATACTTGATATAAAAAGCCACCCAAATATTCCCCACTGGCTCACCACTGTTGGTATATATATGCAAACCCTTCACATGAAAAACAATTCATCTGAAAATGCAGTACCGTGTGCTTAGTTTGAGAACCACAGAATAGAGTTAGCTTCCACTTGACAGATGTTTTGATTTTATTTGCTTTCAAAAATATAGATGTAGAAACGGCACCTTGTTTATAGAGCCTGCCTGCAGCGGAATTAAAATCTAACTTTGGATTTGAGCATATTACTTCCAGTGATTATGAAAATGAAGGACAGATTTGCAACAGGGAAATGGAACATATTTATTAATGTATTTAAAATCTCATGTAATTATCATTGGAAGCAGGGACATCATTTTGATTGGTGAGCTGCAGTATTGCAGCAAAGAGACAGTTTCCATTAGTGATGACAAAGCAGGAAAAGACCGAGCTCTACTTTCAAAGTAATCTACATACAAATTCTCAGAAGGGATTTAGGATTTAAAATTAGTTCCTCTAGCTTTTCTTTTCAATATTTGTCAAAAATAATGTGAATCAAGAAAAAGCTCTTCTTTTTATTACAGTGATAGATACGTCTGCAGATTCCTTTGAGTCCTGAACTTGAACATTTTTTGAGTAAATGAAAAACAGATTTTAATTTTAATGTTGTCTGGTACTGTAATAAATCGTTCTCTGTTGTTTTAGTCAAAAATTGTTAAGGAGCTATAAGAATTATGGTTAGGCTCATTTTATTCTGAAACTCATATAATTTGTTTCCAAGCGAAAAAACAAATGTTTCTAAAATTGGCAATTATTACATTGCATAATTTAGCAAAAATCATGCAGTAATTTTTTTTGTTTGTTTTTATGAATAAAAGTCTAAACCTACACCAGTGGAACATTGACCTTAGTAATTGCTTTAGGGAAAAACTAAAGTACATTATGTAGTGTCTGTTGTGATGGAAAAAAACAGAAGGTTGCAAAAGCAGGGAGAGAGGAAACACTTGTTTGTACAATGTATATTGAATAGTTCATTTTATATTAAAGTGAGCCTGTCACTTAAAAATAATGCTGTCAGGTATAAAGTGCACTATGGAAGGTGTAGATTGGAGTCATTAGATCCCAAAATAGTGTGATCTTGCAGTGCATGCTCTGATGATCAATAACTTTTCTTAGGCACCTCTTAAACATGTAAGGGTCTCAATGGGTGCTAAGGATAAAATACAAGGGTTATACTGAAAAAAGGAGAGCCATGCCAATAGTTGGGAATTCAACCGTGTTTATTTAATCACAAAAGCCTTCATTGCAACAACCAATTGCTGAAGTCTGCTCTTTACCAAAAACATTCTTTACCTTTGAACCCTTTAACTGTTTTGAGTCCAGTATCACTCCATTTCAACCAGCACATTAAGCCTCAGAGAAGAAGGACCCTCAGAACCCCTGAAACACTCAGTATTGTGATTTTGGACTTTTAAATGAAAAATACACTTTTAGACTCCCAACTGTTGACACAGCTCTCCTTTTCTCCAACGCCCCTAGGTATAGAGTGCAGACACCTCATGCTTACAGTAACCTGCTGTGGCCTGGTATTGTTCATTAGAGGGAGAGTGCACACTTGTTCTCTCACTTTTCTGGCCAGCCAGAATGCATGCTGGGATAAAGATTTTGCATAAATTTGGGGAATCGGGAGGGCCCCCTTTTTTTTTTCTTTTCTTTTTTTTTTGCATGCGGTCCCCTTGACTTTCATATCATACTCTCATCAGTGATAATGGTCTGGAATGTATAATTAGGGGGACCCCTCACCATTTTTTTCATGTGTGTTGGATGCCCTATTAACATCTACAGTGCACAGCATAAATGAGCACACCCCAACAGATTTGTCAGAAAACCTTTACTTTCCTTTCAGAATCAACATTTTCTATGGTACACTATACATCAAAATACTCCCACAAATGTGGGCTATTGATTGCAAACAAGATTTGTTAATTTTCACACACAAAAAAAGTATTTTTCCTAAAACATTCATTCAAGACCATGTTGCAAAAATGAATACACCCCAATGAAAGTTTTAGGAGCAAAGCTACATTTTAAAAAAACAAAATCCTAATTAACAAGAATTCAACTACAGATGAGTCTAATTATTCATTAAACAGGTGTCCAGCAAACAGGTGTCCCGCAGAATAAAAGGGTGTTACTTAACAAAGAAAACCCCTTCCCATTTCATGCTGTCAGCAATGGCACCACATGAAAGAAAAATGTCATAAGGCCTGAGAAAGAAAATCATTTCTTTATATAAGGAGATCAGCAAATCTGTTTTTTTAAAAATTTCCTTCCAAAATGCATACCAGATCTTTTGAGGTCTGGTAAAAAAGGGTGCAGAGAGAGGTGGTGGAGGAGACACAGGAGCACACTGATCTGCCCAATGAAAGGCTGTGTGGGGTGAGGGTGAGGTGTCAGCACAAGACTGATCATTGGAGGAGAGCAAGCTGAGTTCCCAGCATAGCAAGAGGACTGACCACGGTGTGTTCTCCTGCTTAGCATGGTCAGTTTTTAATAGGAAACAAAGGGACTGGCAGGAACACCAGGCATTTTACACAAAGGAAGCAACAAACACAAAGCAAGCACAGGAATGTGAAATGTTGGGTTTACATTGTTTTACTGTTTTTATTCCTGGGTTCAGATATGCTTAAGTAGAATTAACCTCCCTGGCGGTATTCCTGAGTGTAGCTCGGGGTAAAGTTTCAGTACCACAAGCGGTAACCCCGAGCTACCCTGGGGAATACTATGCGGCGCTGCTCCACGATCCCTTGATCACTTACCTTGTCCTGCGCTCCCGCGATGTCCCTCCTGCAGTGTCCCCGGCAATGTAATCCGGCAGATGCCGGCATCTGTCTTCTGGGTTCCGTCCCCTGTGAGTGTCGGGACGTACTGGGGGACGGAACGGCAGGAAAATTCAAAAATGACAAAAAAGTGACATTCACTAAAATCAAATAGTAAAACATTACTGTATCAAACCATTTCACATACATTTTGTCCCTAGTGCTTTGTCCTGTGCCCTGCCTGCATTTTGACTGTTCTTTCTGCCTGGAAACTGAGAAACGTCCATGGCGTCCAAAAAGCATCCCTTTAGGTCAAAAGTGGTTTTAGAACAGCTAGAGAACAGCGATAGTAAATCAGAACCACTTGCAGAATTGTGTGATAATGATTCGTGGGGAAAATTTGTCATCAGACACTGAAAACGATTTTGCGACGTTGCTCAGTGATGTGCGAACTTGGCACTATATTTCAAATTTCAGTGTTTTTGGTTTGATTATTTTATTGAATTAAATTTATTATTATATTATTATTATTTTTATGATTATTTATTAAATTATAATTTATGACTTTGTGTTTCAAATTTTATCATACCCGGGATGTTTACTAGACTCTTGTTCGGACAGATTTCAGTGAGTTATTCCTAAAAATTACAGGCCTACAATAAAAAAAATACATATTTCCATGCAAAAAAATGCACCAAAAATCTGAAATAATCATACCACCAGGGAGGTTAAAGTGCATAATGGAAGCAAAATTTTGAACCCAAAGCATTATGCATTCCAAAATGCCTTATTGTCTGTGTCTTTTGCTGTGAGGTGCCATCCTGACATATAGCTCATAGGTTAAATTATAGAACATCTCTCCTTGCTAACAGGAATAGGTCCCAGTTTAGAATAGTCTAAACACATTTCTCTGTTGAATTATTTATTCTCAAGCTAGAGATACTTCCATAACATATCCCTAGAGAAATTTACAAAGTCATTTGAGACTTTTTCCCACGTGCTCTATGTAGGTCTTTATTGTACTCCCCTATCTCAGCCAACTGCCTTAAAACATCTACATACAAAAGCATCAATAATAATGAAAATGATTTTAAAAATGGCACTCTGTTGCTATCATCAGCAAGTCTTGTTTACTAGTCTCTTTAATCATACTTGTCAGGAAACAGCATCATGGCTATGTCCCTCTATAATTCCTGTCTTCACATCATCACATCTGAAGCACCTGCTAGAGACTGGCTGAGAGAGGAACGTATTAATCATCACAAACTCTAAAATTGAAACCATCTTACAGAAGAAACATCTGTACCCACTAAGGAAAAATGTCCCAATTTCCAATGGTGTTACTGAACGCCACTGTTGATCATGCATATTTGAAGCCTACAGTACATGTTCCAGGATGTTTTGAAATCCTAAAAAGGATCAAAGTTAGAATAATGTTTAAGTCATAGAGGGCTCCTATATATGTCTGTGAGAGTGTCAAGTTGAGCGACTTTATATATTTATTATATAAGAACAACTAGAAATACCACAAACAACATCTAATCTTAGAAACATTTTTGAGATATATTCTTTTAAAAGATCAGTTTGATGTAAATGCTATCAATGCATATAAATGTTTTACATACAGTAATGGTATTTCTATGTATAGTTTAGAATTATAGACTGTAACACAAAAAGGAAACCATCAATTGATTGCACAGGTTGCAGGGGCTTAATAGAGTGTTAAATGAACCACACAGATATACATATAGATACATATACATATATACATAAGCGCTGAGCAAACTGTTGATGCCATATAAATCCTGTATAATAACAGTAAAATATATATTTTTTATTCATAAAGTTCTTAAACAAATCCATCAGGGCATCTGATTTGAACCATAATGCATCTCTAAAATCATATTTATAACAGTGGTGCGCAAAACCCTTATCATGGGTTGTATTTCCTCCAACCCAGGGGGTAATTTTGAAGCAGTTAACAACCCAGAATAAATTGAGCCTATTGGGGGGCTTTGGACTCAACTCTCTTTATTGCTATCACAAGGGTGAACAACATCCCTTGTGATAGCATGGGCAATGATAGGTACTCTTTACTGAGAGATCTGGGGTATATTAGACCCCAGATCTCTCCTCTGCCCTTAAAAGCATTTGAGCAAACCAAGATCAATTTGATAAGATGTTTTCCCAAGCCAGTACTGACTTGTTTACATCCTGGTTTAACTAGAAGTTTCAAAATACTCATTGTTTCCAAGTTCTTATACCATAGAGATGATCGGGGATGTTCTGGTCCTCAATCATCTCTATAGTAAGCCAGTGGAACCTTCAGCTTCAGTCCCGGGATTACCAGTGGGACCCCCTTCCGCTGCTTACAAAGGCGATACAGTGGCTATTTAGCCACTAGGATCACTTTTACATAAAATTGCAACTACGCTTGAAAAAAAAAAAAAGATACTGGGATGATGTCTGTAACTACATGCATCATCCCGGTATAACAACGTCAGCCTGGTAACATACGGGTACGTCTCAGAGGCTGAAGTGGTTAAATATGCTGAAACTGTTTAGAGCTTTGTGATGTACAGCAATGCTGTGCTTTGTTACTGTTTATTACAATTGAAGTGCGCAGGGTTGCTTTTCAAAAAGTACAGAATTCTCAATCAGCTTAGCAATTAAGGTGATGCTGTGTTCACATTGAATACCTATATGCAAAAGTAAAAACAGGTTTTTGATACCATATGATTGATTATTGAAATGAACACACCTTTCTTATTTACAGCGCTAAGTGCATATTCACCTTGGATCCATTCACACCATTGGCATGCATTAGCGTATGTGCGATATGCCACATGATAACATTGTGTTAAGGCAGCAAGTGCATTTTAAAAATATACCAAAATGCACCACAAACTACATGATATCTGCTAACGCACGTTCATCAACAAGGTGCACTGGGGTTACATTCAAAATTAATGACACTGCATCACACTAATGCATGTAACACAGCAGTGTGAATGGCCCTTTGTTAAATGATCTTTCTATATTTTATTAGATATTCAACCACTACAAGTTAGCAGAGAATTGCAGCATTCATGTTTCTGTCTTGAAGTGTGTGTGTATTCCCAAAAGTTTTCTTAGTAGTACAAGCGCCCATCCTTCTTCTTTGGTAAAAGTATATCTTACAGTTAGTATCTAAGGTTACACTGAAACTGTTCTGATGATAGGTACTTTGAGGAAAAATCTAAATTATTGATGGAAAAGTTACTGAAGAGGAAGTACAGTAGGAAATGTTTTAAAAAAGCCTGTCAGCAAACTTATTAAAAAAACAGAGATTGTACTATTTAACCTAAAGAGACAAACGCCATTTGAATTATCATTCATTTTTAAAGGCATAAGCATCATGTTTAGGACACTCTAAATAAATATGGGTACCTGTTAACCAGTTATACCACAATAAAGAAATATAAAGATCACCCTGAGTTGGTATTCAAATGATCAGTCTCTAATTTGTAAAATGATCAGAGATGAATTGGTAAAATGCCATTAATGCGGCTTTAATAGTGGTGAAAATATATATAAATCAGTGTGTCACTACAAAACACCTCCCTCCTATACCACTAAATACAGGTCCAGAGCTAGAATATTTTGCACCCCATCCCAAAATAATTAAATAAATACAGATTTTAAAAACACACTAGAAAATATTAAATCGATGAAAAACAGCTAAATTTCTTTTAGCTTGCAAAAATAAGTGCCACAAGATGCCAAAAGCTCCAAAATTAAAGACAAAATCAGTGTCACGGACAGACTGTATCTGTGGCTTGCAGTGCCAGGGCCACATTTGCAGTGAGTGGAGGATGATGGATCCGCACTCTGACAGATCCCAGGCTGGAATTCCCCAGGCAATAAGGGGAGATAAAACTCTGTGACAGCAGGCAGCCCAGCCCCCCCCCCCCCCCCCCCCCCCCCCCCACACACACACAGAAAATCTGATGTGAGCGATCCCACACAGTGAGAGATCCAACACAACACAACACACACACCACCAACACTGACACAGATGAGCAGGCCCAACAGGCACTAAAAGAGCAAGCTATGGGATCGTGATGAAGTCATCACTCACTGCCACAATGTCAGACATTACCTTCCTCTGCAGGTGCAGCTCCGCCTCCTCTGATGAATGGGAAGAGAAGGGGCTGGAACTCCACAGTGATCAGCAGCCACCAGCCAGATTGCAGTAAGTGACCAAGTCTGAGAGGAACACTGGAAGGAGCTGCAGCTCAGCTGCTACACTGGCTCCAAACACCCGGCATATTCCTCTGTCCTTTCTTTCTCCCCTCTGCTGCCCCTCCCCTCAGCTGGAGGATCATTCATGACGTGGCAGCATTCTGCACAGAGAGAGTGCTGGCCTGTGCTGCACCCAGGCACCCCTAGGTGGTAGTGCGCCCTAGGCAGCTGCCTAGTTTGCCTAGTGGAAGCACCGGCCCTAAATACATATGTGCAAATTGTCAAAGATAAATCAAATCAATGTGTCCACTCTTTCTCAGTAGGTTATTACGTGCTATAAAACACCTCTTACATACCATACTAAACTTACCACACCTCCCACTACCTAATATCCACAAAATAACAAATTCAAACGCAGTACAAAATAATCACAAATATCATAAATTCCTTCACAGTTGACAGTATTAAAAAGTCCTTCATAAAGTGCTCAAAAGATAAGATGTCAGTGGTACACACGCTTGTGACATGCATATTCCCCTTCCTTTGACCATACTCATTAATATTTTATGACCCCTTATGATTAGTAAATGAATCTAATGCGCTCTGTCCACTAGCACTGTTCCTCCCAGGGTAGGTACACATTCTCATTAAGGATCCTCCACCAGCAATGGACACTCTCTTGTTCTCTTGCCTCCTTGTTTCCAAGATGTATATACAAGAGAACCATAGAGCAGTCTCCAATAGTGTTATATCTTTTTATTAATAAAATCACACCAAGGCAAATAACTCATAACAATAAATGTATTGCTTAAACACACAAACAAGTAGGCATAAACATTTGTCTGGGATGCTCCTGCATTCCATGGACCGGAAGCGGCATAAGAAGCTCTGCCCAATGTGTTTCGTCAGTGTGATGTCATCAGGAGTGGTGCCATCTTACTCCACTCATCACCATATATACCATTCTGTTTGCAAATTTTGAATAGCAGGTGATCCCTGACCCAGAAGAGGAATGTTAAGTTGTGGCATGTGCAGCCAGTATCTATGGGTTGAGAAAGATAATATTGTAGTACTTCTTAATGGTTCAGTCTGTAAACTCCAGAAACTACCAGCATTGTCTATTTGACGTAATGCCATTGAGGTGTCTTCT